TGCAAATAAATATAGCTTCATAATAAGCGGCAGAACATTCCCCCTGGTTGCATACAAACTCCTGCTTTACAAACCATCATCTCCCGAGGCTATTAATTTAGAGCATATTGTGAAGAGACCTGCCGAGGCACGACCTGCCGGAGGTGGTGCATTCTCTCTCTCTCTCTCTCTCTCTCTCTCTCTCTCTCTCTCTCTCTCTCTCTCTCTCTGTGTGTGTGTGTGTGTGTGTGTGTGTGTGTGTGTGTGAAGAGAGGGAGAGGGAGAGGAGTCAGAGTCTTGGTTCTTTTACTCCCTTAAAGAATGCAGTCTGTGGGAAGAAGAGGCGAGGCCAGGCAGCCTGCAGGCAGAAGCATTTTTCGGGTCTGCAGCCGCAGCCTGTCTTCGGCTGCCTTCTGTCATACCCCACTGGGAAGCGCACATGTCCTTGGTGCAGTCACCTGCACTGTCACTACTTCCAAAACAGTCTACCATCAGGGCCGCTTGGGCGTCTCTTGGTCTTTCTGCTGCTTGCTCTAGGATGGGAGTCTTGGTGCTGAGAGTCTGCCAATGAAGCCACCACGTTTTACAAGGCTGCAGCGCTGGCTCCTCTAACTGTTGCTGCCAAATCCTGGCCACCAATTTGCACCCTCTCCATTCATATGTTCGTATGTGCCACCACGCACCCTGCGTGCTATGTGGTTGGTGGCCTTCCCACAGTTGCTGATGTGAGGTGTGGCCAGCAGGGTTGCTAAACGGAGCGAAGAAAAAGCCAACGATGCATTTTTAGATTAACAGTGAGATGTTAGCGTAAGCATATCCTGAATAGTGCATGCACTCACTTGGACTAAATATGCGCGTGTGTGTGTGTGTGTGTGTGTGTGTGTGTGTGTGTGTGTGTGTGTATGTATCATTGTTCTTTTAAAGTTAAAGTGAACTGGGCCTAGCAGTTTTCTGGTGAGCCTAGCAATAGGAGAAGCTGAAAAGATGCTTTCTTCTGTTTCTTGGGTCCTGGGTCTTGGGTAGTAGCTCTGTGACTTTCTCTTCCCTATCTCAGGACATTTTCAAAGGAAACTAATGGTGCCCCCTGTTGGTTGTCAGTCCCCTCCATATAGAAGGGGCCGAGTAAATGCCACAAATGAATAAGGAGCCAGGCTGGCCTTTGGGAATAGGGCTCTCTGAGCTGTGATCCTTCAGCCCGAGCTCAATGCTCCAGTTTGGAACATGCATCTTGTCACGGGTGTTTATCTTTTGCCATTAGGACTCCAGAGAGGTGGAACCGTGAGATGTGAAATCCATCAAAGTAGCAAACGTTCCAACAATCACACTTCTAAGAATCTGCCTCAAGGAAATAATAAGAGATGTAGGCTGAGATTTATGTACACGGACAGCCGTCCCAGGGCTGTTCATAACAGTGACACGCCAGAGACTCTGTCCATGTCCAATAATGAGAGAACAGTAAACGATGGGACAGTCTTAGAGTGGAATATTATGTGACAACTAAAAATGGTGGCTTTAGAAAAGTGGTTTATGACACTCTGATGCTAATAATACAAAGGGTCAGTCAGACAGCACGACGCATGGCAGTGTGATCTTCACCAAAGGTCTGGAAGGAGGAGCCCCAGCTCACTTGGTGGCTCTGCCTGCAGGCCGAAGTGCGGCCCCTTTGAGCATCTTCCCGTGTCGTGGTCCTTGGGCGATGCCAGCATGTGACTGCAGCGTGGCTCCCCTTTACTTTGACATTGCCACTTGTCACTTCCCAGCTCTAACAGGGGATACAGGGAGACAAGGGGCCAAAAGTAGCATCTCCGATGATAAAGCTGTGCTTACGATAACCAGATGATTGCATGTCTGTCTGTGCGTGTAAGTGACTTGGGCTCCTCGTTGATACCTTTACCCGTGGCCCTGTCTTTTCCATGCCTGCAAGGCTTCAGTTAGCCTCCCAAGTCTCAGGCTCTACCCTTGTTATCTCTTGGCCATCATTCTGCTCTGCCATCCGGGCCCCTCTGCCACACATCCCTTTAAAAAAAAGTGTGTGTATGTGTGTGTGTGTGTGTGTTCCATATGTGTGAATGGGTGTCATGTTGAGATCAGAGGAAAATTTGCAGGAGTTGGTTTTGACCTTTCACCTTATGGTGGCTTGAATGTAATCAACCTCCATCATCTCAGAGAGTGGAGCTACTAGGAGGAGTGGCTTTGTTGGAGAGGGTATAGCCTTGTTGGAGGAAGTGTGTCACTGTGGGGGTGGGCTTTGAGATTTCTATGCTCAGGGCACCACCCAGTGAGTCAGTCGACTTCCTGTTGACTGCAAGATGTAGGGCTCTCAGCTCCGTCTCCAGCACCGTGTCTGCCTGCACACCACCATGCTCCCTTGCCACGATGGTGAAATGGACTGAACCTCTGAAACTGTAACTGAGCCACCCAACTACAAGTTTTTCTTTATAAGAGTTTTCCTGGTCATGGTGTCTCTTCACGGCCATAGAAACCCTGGCTGAGACACACCTTGTTTGATCTCTTCACGGCCATAGAAACCCTGGCTGAGACACACCTTGTTCAAGATGGGTCTCCTATTGTTTGCTGCCTTACATGGCAGGCTAGCTGGCCAATGAACTTCTAGGGATTCTCTGGTCTCTGTTTCCCTTCTTGCCACAAAAGTGCTAGCATTACAGAAACATATCACCTCACCTGGCTTTACTTGGGTTCTGGGGACTTGAACTCTGGTCCCCAAGCATGAGTAGCAAGCACTTTACCCACTGAGCTGTCTCTCCAGCCCAAAGTATTCCAAAATGACCTGCTGTGAATGGTATTCTTTTATTTTTTTCTGATAGTGCTAAGGATAGTGCTTAGAAAGCATATAAGAAAAATATAACTGTATATATAATTTTTCAAAGATCCACTTGCATCTATCTTTGAAGGAAAGTTCCCCCATGCTCTCTTAGTCCCCACCCCATTGCTGCCCTGTTTCACTACCCTCTTGCACTACAGTGATGATCCAATATTGATAATACAATTATTAACACAAGTCTGTAGCTGGCATCGGGGTTTACTCTGTGTGGTTTGTTCCCTGCTTGGAGTGTATTAAGAATGTGTAGTCATCACAGGCTCAGGAAGGTTTCAGCTGTCCTAGGAATCCCCTGTTCTCTGCCTGTGAAATCTCCCTCCCGGCCCCTGGACAGAGGACCTTTACTGTTGTTACGCTTATTTATTTGGAGGGCAGGCATACAGGCTGCAGCATATGGATGGCAGTGAGAGGACATCTTGGCAGGAATCAGTTATTTCCTTCTACCTGGTGAGCCTTGAGGACGGAACTCAGGACAGCCAGTGACTTTACATACTGAGCCATCTCACCATCCCTCAAGCTGACTTTCAAAATATGCATTTTATCAAGAGACCACGGGCCAGTGAAACACAAAGAACTTACTGTTTTTAAACTTGTGACATTGGCAGGGATGGTGCTCATGCCAATAGTCCCAGGCCTTGGGGAGATAAGGCCAGAAAATCACTACTGTGAGTTTGAGGCTAGCCTGGGCACATAGTGAGCTATTGACTAGCCTGGGATATAGAATGAGACTTTGTCTTGAAAAAAGTATGTGTGTTATCTGATCCTTGTTCCATGTGTCTCGAGTAAAAACAGGGACTTCATATTTCTTAGACTTTAAAGTTCTATTCAGTTTGTATAATAAATGTCTGGTCTTCACATAGCTCGTTTAAATAGCAGGGGAGATCGTCCTCTCTTGAATGGTTGAGGGCCTCTGGCCTACAGCTGGGAATCCACAGCCTCTGCTCCCCCAGATTTTCCAGTCTGGCGCCCTCTGTGCTCACTCACTCAGCACTTTCCTCACCAGGCCGGATGCCTTGAAGCCATTCCTTTACCTCAGCGCCCCTCCCACTTCACTTCATCCTTTAAGAGTTGGTTAGAAGTGGTGTCCTCTCTAAAGACTTCCTGTCCATCCAGGTGAAGAGTGGCTTCTTCCCCAGGCCTCTCAAATATCCTGCTCACAGGTTTCCATGCCTCTGTCTCCTCCATACGTGCATCTAAGGACGGCTTTGGAGAAGGTCCACATGCTATGTGCAGTGGTTGGAATGAAAACGGGCCCCGTAGACCCATAAGGAGTGGCACTGTTTGAAAGGGTTAGGAGGTGTGGTCTTGTTGGACTAGTGTGGCCTTGTTGCAGGAAGTATGTCACTGGGGTGGGCTTTGGGGTTTCAGAAGCTCAAGCCAGGCCCAGTGTCACTCTCTCTTCCTGCTGCCTGCTGATCCAGACATAGAAATCTCAGCCCGTTCTCCAGCACCAGGTCTGCCTCCCTGCTGCCATGCTGCCTGCTGTGACAGTAATGGACTAAACCTCTGTGTGTAAACCAGCCCCAATTAAACTCTTTGTAAGAGCTGTCATGGTCGTGGCACCTCTTCACAGCAATAGAACGCCAAGGCACTATGCCTTTAAAAAATGTTGTTTAGCCAGGTGTGGTGACACACACCTTTAATCGCAGCACTCAGGAGGCAGAGGCAGGTGGAATCCTTGTGAATCTTATCTACAGAGCAAGTTCCAGGACAGTCAGAACCACATAGTGAGACGCTGTCTTGAAAATAAAGAAAATGTGAGACACTGTCTTGAAAATAAAGAAAATGTGTCTTGAATACCAGTGAAAGTGTTTGTTGATCGAAACAGCATCAGGGTCCCCAGATGAAGGAGTCATTCAGCAGCTCTTTATTCAACACTTACAATGGGGTCCTAGCCCATTCTAGGCTCTGAAGAGACCCTGGTGGGAACAGAACAGAGAGGCTTCTGCTCTCGGGGAATTCTCATTCTTCTGGCAGGGGATAAATAGTAAACAGATAAGAGGATCTTAGAATGAAACAGATAGTATCATTCATTCAGCCATTCAGCAAATACTCATTAAGCTTCTCCAACATGTGAGACATTGTTCTAGTTGCTAGGGAACAAAATGAAGATCCTGCCTCCAAGGACATTGTGACAATAGAACATGACTTGGTGGCTGCACTCTTAGGTGGGGTGGTCAAGGCGAGTATCTAAAAGGAACAGCTTGGGACTCTAAAGATGGAGAATAAATTACTTTATAAATAACAGAGAAGAATCTCAGACGTGGAAAGGGAGAATTGCTCCAAGCAGAAGACAAAAGAGGAGATGAGTCTCCAAGGCGGGATGACCCTGGCATGTGGGACACACGGCTGGCCGGTGTGTCTGAGAGGGTGAGATGGCGCACTGTGGCCTCAGGAGTGTCTCAGGTGAGGCCGGAGACTTCACTTTATTTGATTTTGGTTGTGTGGGAAGGTCCGAGTCCCTGCAGAGTGAATGTGCTAACCTGTTCCTGGAACTTAGACCTTGAGATACGTCTCAGGGCATTTGGTGTGAAGCTCAGAATTGTGTAGGCTGGTGGGTACCAGTGGTCACCAGGCAAGAGGCCCATGAGCAAGGCTTGCTGGTCTTCTGGGGGCAGCCCACCAGACTAGGCAAAGCCTGCACCTGGCATTGGAGTCAGAATGGAAGAGGCTTTGGGATGACGCACAGGTGACCTCAAGCCCACTACCACAGTCTGTGACCGGCTCCCAGACCCCTCTCTGTTCCAGAAGGCCTTGGTGAACCATGCCTCCTCTGCTGTTGGTTGGGTTGGGCCAGCACCAGAACAGTAGTGCCAGGATAGGCTGGTGTGTGAAAGGTCACACCATTGACTATCGGTTCTCTGGTTCCCGAACCAAAGAGGAAGTTGGGCAAGAGTCAGCAGATAGTTCCTTTTCTCACTGAACTGACTCTGGGGTCCCATTACAGTGTCACATTTGTAGCCCTTTTAGGATGTGGGCAGGCCAGAATTGTCATCCCAGAGGATGCCCCTGGAAGGGCAAATTGAAGAGCCATGGCCTAAGCCTCTGCCGCAGGCTTTCCAGGATGCTCAGAGGCAGGAAGTCCCCCTACTCTCTTGGATGTGTCCCCAGTCTCAGCTCCTCAAGATCTGGAGGCTCAGGTTCTCCCAAATGCTTCCAGCCTCTCTCCCAAGCCCTTTCTGGGGACCCTTGGCCATGTCAGAGAAAAAAAAAGTATGGCTGGACCCCAGGTGGAATGTTGAAATCTCTGTCACAGCTGCCCTGGGATTCCAGGAAAGTCCTGTCTGTCTCTGGGCCTGGATTTGCTCCTTGGGAATGCAAACTGGCGAGATGAAATGCCACTGCTGGCTTTCTGCGACACGAATCATTTATTTTATAGAGCTGGGGACATTGAGGCAGAGGCCTTTTGCTGTCTCAGGGAAAATTGCCTTTTGAACAGAGAATGGAATTGTAATTGCTTTGGGACCCCTGGCTCCGTGAGCAGGGCACTTCTGAGCTGGGACTTCTGCAGCGAGCGTTCCCAGCTGTGCCGGGGGAGACTGGGGTACACCCACTGTCTCCGCCCTGCTCTTCGTTCTGAAGTGTTTCTTTCCCTCCTGAATCTTCTTTTCTGTATGGCTTCTGCCACACACCCGGGAAGAGAGGACACATTTCGCCAGGAACTGAGAACAACAATTTTTTTAAATTAAGGTGGGACCTCTGTATTTTCATGGGGTCATTGAATTAGGAGATGAGAGTGAAGCTTTGCTGGCTCATGGCATGGATAAGTAGACTACCTGTGTGTCTACACACCTATAATCCTAGTGCTCAGAAGGCTGAAGCAGGAGGATTGCCATGAGCTCGAGGTTGCTAAGACTACGTAACAAGACCCTTCCCCCTGCAAAAAGGAATTCCTTTCTGAAATGACATTAAAGCCATTTACCAGAAAATGCGTGTGTGTGAGTGTGCGTGTGTGAGTGTGCGTGCGTGCGTGCGAGTGTGTGTGTGCGTGTGTGTGAGTGTGTGTGAGTGTGCGTGTGTGTGAGTGTGCGTGTGAGTGTGTGTGTGTGTGTGTGTGTGTGTGAAGTCCTAGCACAGGCGCTGATGGGCTAGTGGTAGCTGAGGACATCTGGACAGCACAGCCACGGCTCTTTCCTTGGAGTCTAGCAGCTGGGACCCTGCAGGCACTGGAGAACGTATCAAGTCGCTCCAGAGGAGGGCGCCAGAGGGCTCCTAGACCCGTGCTTAGGCACCATGTACTATTTACAGAAAGGCCAGGTCTGGGTCACCGTGGGACTATGAGCGGTATGAACCTAGTGCGTGAGCTTGAAAGCCCCATCCAGGCTGGCAGTGTCTGACGTGTAAAGTCAAACGCACTTCCCGACAGAGACTTCAGTATAGAACTCAGCTCCGGTAATGAGCTTTGAAGCCCTGAATAAGAAGCTGGTTTCCAGGTGACCATTGTGGAATTGTTAGAGGGATGGTTTCATCCAATTTCCCTGCGTTGTTGGGAGCATTGTAGGAAATAAGACAGCTAGGGTGGTTGGGGCAGAGGAGACACTAGACAAATAGCATCAGAGTTCTTGTTTGGTTTCCATAGAGCCCTGTTAGAAAGGTTGGTCTTTTGTTCAGTTCGCTAATGAGTTTGGGGATTCCAACTCCTTAATACATGGTAAGTAACTAGGCATAGTGGCACACGCCTGTCATTCCAGCACTTAGGAGGTGGAGGCAGGGGGATATGGACTTTATGACCTGCTCTGCTACACAGAGAGCTTGAGATCAGCTTGGGTTACATAAGACCTTTCTTATAAACAAACAAACAAGCAAACAAACAATACACCCCACACACACACACACTTCTCAAAAATCAGAATGAGATAATCAGTTCCTTTGCATCCTGGCTGAAATCTGGTTGTTAATGTCAGCTCAGAGCTTGGTTTTTTTTTTGTTTGTTTGTTTGTTTTTGTCAAAGGCAGCAAGCATTCCAATAGTTGGAATAAAAACCCAGAACTATATCAAAGCAGGAGCAGAGTTAATCAGACCCAAACCCAGGAGACACTAGTTACTTCCATGCACTATGTAACTGTTTATTACTTATTTATTGTTTGTTTATTGATGCTGGGACTGAGTTTAGGGCCTCACACTTGCTAAGCACATGCTATACCCCTGAGCTGTACCCCATACCCTTAATATTTAAGCTTTGGAGCATCTGCCAATTTAGGTTTAAAAAACAAAAAGAATAGGATGTTCACATAAATGTCACTGCCTGGCTTAAGAAAGATGCTTTTCTTTTCTTTTTTCAAGGGATGTGGACTGTAGTCAGGGCATGAAACACAGACGTCATAGATTTATCGGAAGGTGCCTAGACCAGACCACCAAGCTGAGAGGCCCAACTCATCTTCCCTGTGCCAGGATGAAGAGAGAGCTGCCTGCTCTGAGGATGTAGCAGATGGTCCATGCTTCCCACAGGTAAGCAAACATCTCTCCTGAGGGCAGGAGCTGATCTGGGTCCCAAGGGGATGCCAATGAAAGGATTTCATTTGCTACAGTCAGGACTCGCTGCTCACAGAGCCCCAGGCTGGTAACTCTGAGAGCAGAATAGTGTCCCTACTTTACCTCTTCTTTTTAAAGTAGAAATATACTGCTAAGACACAGTTTCCTTTGTCTGGCCCTGCGAGCTTCAGTATACAGGGATTTAAATACTGCTTTGGCTCCTGGGAGTCCTCATCTTAGCTGATCCTTGGGTTGATCACACAGTCAATTCTCTTGCAATGGCCCTGTCCAGCATCCTGCAGGGGCTGCCCTGCGCAGAGCCTGCCTGTTCACCTGCTTAATGCAAATTTTGTATTCATTTTAGAGGTTACTTTGCCTAATTGTAATAATAGAGCAGCCTTAGCTATAGATGTCTCCCTAATTTGCTGGATTGTTTTGTTTTGTTTTATTATTATTACTATAGTTGTTCTTTTGAGACAGAGTCTTTCTATCTACAGACCCCTGACTGGCCTGGAACTCTCTTTGTAGATCACTCTGACCTCAAGCTTGCCAAGATATTTCTGCCTCCATCTCCCCAGTTCTGGGATAACAGGCATACACCACCACACCTTGCTGTCCCAGTTTGATTTTAATTAATGCTTGATATAGCTCTGGGCGGTGGCAGGTCTAGGAGTCAGAGCTATTGCAATGGGAGAAGTACTTGGTAGAACAGCTATTTTATTTCTAAAGCAGATCTCCAGGAGAAAGGATGAAGCAGAAATCTGCAGGAAACACATCCATTCTGGAATCTTTCAAAGCTCTTGCCGACATCAATGACATTTGGAAAGTGCTGAGCAAAATTTGGAACTCACAGCACTAATAAGGATGCTGGGGGTGGTATTTATAGACACCCGATGCCAAAGAGCTGCCAGTAGGGGTATTTATTTTTAAATGCTGCTTGTTTATTCAGTCAAGCAGGGACCTTAAGGTGGCAGAAATCATTCTCCTTTGAAACGTGCATGGAACCCGAGTCACAGCAAGAAGGTGGAATGGCATCATCAAAGGCTTAGACTCTGCCTGACAATAGTGCCATGGCTTGTAGAGGCTGCTCCTGGCAAGTCTATGCATCAACTTTCTGGGGTTCCCCCCTGTTCCCTGTGTATCCACATGTGGCTAAATGGAGCACTGACCAGGAAAACACACATCCAGAATAACCTCTGTCAGCCCATCTTATGTGCAGAATTTGACCTCAAGGCAGCTACCAAACCTCTTTCAAGCCTTGATCATCTGGCTCTTATTTCCATTCCTAGCTATATCCTCTGCCCTTCTAGAAGCTTTGGGTTCTAGACAGCTGCACAGTTCACTGCACTGGACTCATTTCTAGGATCAAATGAAACTTCCAGCAACAGCCTGAAGTATGGTGTCTACTGACCTCAGTTTGAAGCTCAGTACAATGTCATTACATAGTGTCTTAGGGTTACTTTTGCTGTGATGAAATGCCACCACCCAAAGCAAGTTGGGGAGGAAAGGGTTTATTTGGTTTATGCTTCCACAACACTGTTCATCACTGAAGGAAGTCAGGACAGGAACTCTCTCCAACACGGCAGGAACTTGGAGGCAGGAGCTGATGCAGAGGTTATGGAGGGTGCTGCTTACTGGCTTGCTCCCCATGGCTTGCTCAGCCTGCTTTTTTTTTTATAGAACAAAGACCACCAGCCCAGCTGGGCAGTGGTGGTGTACACCTTTAATCTCAGCACTCAGGAGGCAGAGGCAGGTGGATCACTGTGAGTTCGAGACCAGCCTGGTCTACAAGGGCTATTTCCAGGATAGGCTCCAAAGCCACAGAAAAACCAAAAAAAAAAAAAAAAAAAAAAGGACCACCAGCCCAGACATTGCTCCACTCACAGTGGGCTGGGCCCTCCCTCATCAATCACTAATTAAGAAAATGGCCTACAGGCCTGCCTATAGGCTGATCTTATTGAGGCATTTCTCAATTGAGGCTTCATCGCCTCCGGCAATTCTAGCTTGTGTCAAGTTGACAAAAAACTAGCTGATGCAATGGCTCGGCTGTTGTAGAAAGTTGATATGGGTGCTCCTCTGAATATCTAGCTTTCAAGAGTTCCCACTGTGGTTTCCAGGGCACCAGCATCAGTACCCACTGATGGTTAGAAATTCAAGCTCCTAGGATGCATCCCGGAGTTCCTGTGTCATCTGTTGTAGGGGCAAGGCTCAGTGCCCTCCAGGGGATTCTGGTACACCCTAAAGTTGTAGAAACGCCACTCTAAGTAATGTCACCTTCAGGCTTGTGAAGTTTGGGTGGGACTTAAAAGGAGCACAGACCTAGTTTACAGCCACATGGGCGAGGGACTTCAGCACTTGGCAAGTTAGCCCTGGTTCTGAGTTCCCTCTTGCTGAGGTTTGAGACTGGTGTACAAAACCAGGGCACACTGTTATTTCAGTCTTGTTACCCAGTATGAGGATCTGAGTTGCTGGTGTGAAACCAGCTAGGGAAACCAAGACTCCAGGGAGACCATCCAAAATGATACTGGGTGGGAACTCGGTTGCCAAGCTTAGTACCTGGATCCTGCTGTCTGGAGTAGAATAAATGTTCATCCTTGAATTTTCTTCTGTGCATCAGGGACCCTGAGCCATGTACTTCCTGACTGCGTTGCAGTAGGGTCTGTGAATCTGCACACACTTGGTCCAAGTTTGGATTAGAGAAGATTAAGTTGGAAAATCTGTGCAGGCACCAAGGACTCAGATCTGTTGTCCATCTTTTCTTCCAGCTAGGGATTCAGCGGCTCTCCATCCCCAGACAGTTTGTGGGAGATTTGCCAGCATCCGCCACCGGATGAGGTAATAGCAGCAGCTGCAGCTCTCCAAGGAGACCTCAGTCACCTTGCTGTGTGCCACCAAAGCCTCTGGAGCAGAGGTGGGGACCTGCGTGTGTGTACTTGGGGGCACGTGCGTACGTAATTACAGATGAGCATGAATTCGTTCGTGAGTGTGCGTGTGTGCGCACGTGTGTGTGTGTGTGTGTGTGTGTGTGTGTACATGTGTGAGTGGGAGAAGTACAATACTTCCTTGCAGAAGAGAAAAGTGTGTAAGAGGGTAAAGCTGGCCCACCAAGGGTAAGGGGACTGATTAATTACAAGTGGAGTCTTTTGCTCTCCCATGGAGGGCAGACGGTGGTCTTCCTGGAACCAAGTTTCCCTTTCAAGGAGGCAGGTTCTGTTTAAAGATGTGGAGCAGGGCTGGGCGGGGCCTTAGGCATCCTACATTCTAACCCATTGCACAGAGGAGGTGCTGGGAGGGACCCACAGTGAACCCCATGACTGAGGTATCTTTGAGTAAGTGACGTTCTTAGAGGCCTATGTGCCAAAGCCAAGAAGCCAATTTCAGAATATTTATAACCATGTTTTATTTGATGAACATGTCCCTGCATTTCTCCTTCTCTCCCTTTTTTCCTTCATTTGATGCTTTCCCCTTCCTTCCTCTTCCCTCTTTTCCATCTCTCCTCCCCTCCTTCATTTCCCCTCTTTCATCCCTTCTCCCCCTCCATGTTGAGACAAGATTCCATTGTCCCAGGCGGGCCTCAAACTTGCTATGTAGCAAGGTATGACCCTGAACCCTTGAGCCTCCTGCCTCTACCCCTAAAGTGGTGGGATTTCAGGCATGTGACACACGACCATCTGGGTTTCTTTGTAATAAACACACCCAGCTTCAGCAGATTAACTCAATCTATGACAGTACCAAGAGTGATTCCGGTGCTAATTACTTTACAATGGTTATCCTGTTCAATATCCCCACACTTGGTGGCAGACACCACCCTCATCCCCATCTTGTAGATGAGGAAACAGGTTCGGTTTCAGATTCTTGCTGCAGATTCACAGCTTTATTAAAACCTACCTATTCCTCATTGCTCCAACTCTCTGAAGAGCTAGGGCGAAGGGTGAGGGGGCATAAGACCATTTTAGAGTGGCGCAACTCAAGCAGGAAGTGAGCGTCACAGCCAAGACCAGAGCCCAGGAGCTCAGTCCAATGTCAGGTCCCAGGCCACACTCACCCCCACCTCACCACATGCTGGTGTATCTCTCTGTGCGTCGCTATAGAGAACTTCGTCTTCTGCTGTGTTGCACCAAGTGTCTAAAATGATTGGGGCCAATGTCTAGAGGCATCCCAGGGCACCTCTGTAGCACACACACCTTCTAACGCTGTCGGTGAGGACGCAGGTGCCTGCCGATTGATGGATGATGCAGTTGTTTTTTCTAAGATGGAAGAAAAAGGAGGATATCAGAAAGGATGTCTTTTTTTTTATGGTAAGTGATCCTTCATGTCGGTACCCCGTGGTAAGGTACAAAGCCCCCAAATGATGTCTCCTCCTGAAGTGTCTGCTACAGTAACTCACTTCCACGTAAGGGAACAGAAAGAACTGATGTCTCCTGCTATATGAAGCGCTTTTTCTTTTTTCTTTCTTTCTTTCTTTCTTTCTTTCTTTTTTTTTTTTTTAACTGTTTTAGCCAAATTTATGTAACTCGCTTTCATTAAGATCTGGCTGTGTCTGTGATGCGTAAAGTGTCTGAAGAGCCAAGATGAAGCCAGCAGTCCATGACAGTCACTGTCGAAATGGAGCTCCAGCTGGGAGACTGGCATACTCACTGGATGTCCCCACCTCCCCAAGAGTCTATGGCAGGCCCTGGGCACGCTGGGTGGGTAAAAACATTGGATAATGGCTCAGGGTCTTTGTGGGGAGTCCTTGGGGCCAGAGATAGTCCCTCTACTCATGGGATTGGAGTCGGGTTGGTGTGGAGCCAGGTGCCACCTACTGGCTGGTCCTGGGCCCTTAGCACCTCTTCCCCATAGTCAACATTCTCTGCTCAAGGCATTTTCTGTTTCCTAGGCCTGGAGTGTTCTTCTCTCTAGATAGCTCTATGGCTGCCTTCTGTCTTTCTTCTCCATTGCAAGCAGTTGTCGCTTTTACTGACCGCACCTTCTTAGTGAAATTTGAGCCCTGTGGTCAGCCTTGCTTTCCTTCCCTCGCTGTCTCAACTTCTCCATAGCATCTTTCATAGATGTTTGTTTGGTTTCTAATGCTCTCTAGCCACACGTCAGCTCCATAAGGAGAGAAGACTTCATCAATCTTGTTTACGGATGTGTCTTGGTGCATAGTGTGTCTATCACGCGTTTGTTGAGCGAATGCATGGATATGAGTCCTTGAAGGTTGGGAGGAAGATAGGGCCTGTGGTGTAGGCATGAGATTGGTCTCTATAGCTCTTTCCTCCCAATGACTGTGATCCACGGAGATGTCTGGTACAGGGGTGGCGTGAGATCCAGTGTGGACAGTACGCAAGGAATAAAGCCAATGTTGTGTTCATATGGGAATGGTGACTTCACCTCCCTGGGTTTTATGTTTCTAGTCTGTAAAACGGACATGATAGAGTGCACTGCTGAGCCCTGCTTCCTAGACCCTGCCAACCCCTCCCCTACTTCCCCCACTCTCCCTCGAAGTAGCCTGTAACTACGCTGCTAACATCTCAAGTTCATTTCTGCCCCAGAGCCTTCATGCTCATGGCTTTCTACTTCAGTGTCCCCTGATCGTCAGAGAAGGCTCACCAGCAGGGGCTCTGTTCCTGTGACACCCCTCTACCCTTGCTGACACCCTCAGTTCCCTTGTCTTTGTCTAAAATGATCACATTCCTTTAGTCGCTGGCTGCCTTTACCCTACTCTACGAGAATGGGGACTTCACGCGCCCTCCAGGTGTCCCCATTGTCTGCATCAGCACCTGGCACTCCCTATGCCCAGCGAGCATCTGCTAATTAAATGCATGAATTAAAAGAGACCATGGCTAAGAAGGGTTCGGTACAGTACATGAAGCCCCACAGGCACAGTAGCCTATTATCTCTGGGGCCCACTGTGGCTCCTCCTCATGCCTGTCTCCTCCCCTCGGTGCCATAGCAGGGGAACTAGTTTTTGTCTAGGACAGGATGAGGATAAAAGAACAGGATAAAGGCACCTGAAGGAGGAGGGAGGGGGTCAGGGAGTCGACTACCCTGCCTGTGGGAGTGGGTGGGCACGTAAAACTGGTTCCCACAAAGCCGTAGAGGGAAGTGGGTGAGATCATGGAGGATCCACACAGGGCAGCCTACTTCTACGAAGTGTCTGGATCTAGCTGAGCAGACCCGCTTGCTGGCCCTTGAGGAGGACCTGGCAGGAAACCCTCTGCCCCATCCCGTGAAGTGTGAATAGAAGCCCGGCCATGGATGATGACTCTTCAAGTGACCTCAGATGAGCCAGTCTCCTTGATTTTCCCTCATGGAGGCTGATTCCTACGTTAGGGTTATTCACTTCACAGACTTGTCTTTACGACCCAGGTCTTCTTGCATCCAAGTTCCTAATGCAGCCCACACTGGCTTCCTTTGGGATGCAGGGAGTAAAGTAGCAAAGGCGGGCGAGGCTGAGGCAGTGGAGCTCCAGCGGCCCGAGCTGTGGGAAATGACTTGCCTGGGAATGCCGTCGTGTGATTTCTCCTTGACATCCATCTGCCAGGGTCAGGATGGGAGATACCTGTATATGCTGTCTCTTGCACACCGTCCTGAGCATTTGTTCAGAGTCCAGGGTAGGCCTCACAGTGACATGATCTGCAGCTTCTTTCTAAAGAACAGGGGAATATTAGTCCTTCAGGGATCACATGCTCCTGGGTGGTGCGACAAATGGCTGGTGGAGGCTGGGAAAAGACTGTAGCTGTGTGTGGATTGATGCCACAGCACCAGTAGATGGAGACTCCCGGATGGGATTTCTCCCACGGGCCCCTCAGTAGAGCAGACACTCTCCTTTTCCCTTACGGATGATGTCTATCTCCAAGCCTGCCTACAAGAGCCTATTCACTTTTCATGGTTCTTCAAGTGTTTCCAGAACCTTCTTTATCTACCCATAATGTCAATACTGGACAGAAGTGGGTGGAGATAATGATCATCCATTGCACACGGGAAAACTGAGGTGTCAAGTAAGAGGGTGACGAGCTGTCTGCACAGTATTGTGTTTCCCTGGATCCCAGTTCACCAGCGTCCAGAAGCACACTTACTTATTAGCAATATGTGGCCCATCTTGGAGTTCCTGTGAGCAGTGGTTGTCTCTGGAGGATGTGAGGCAGGGAAGACCACAAAGGGATTCAGGTTCCTCTTGGGTGTGCTTTGTCCCTGCCCCTTTCTCCTGAGGGGAGGGGAATTGTTCCTCCTGAGGGGAGGGGAATTGTTCCTCCGTCTTTACATTTGGTTTTAGAGTAGCAGCTCTTACTCATGGAGTGGATGTCTCAAGATCCCCAGTGGACGCCTGACCTTAAGACAACACCAAACCTTGTACACACTATGCTTTTTTATGTTTTCCTCAGGACACTGCCGTGAACTGCCAGAGCTGAGAGACTTCTACATTTTGTGCTTTGGAGCCTTCTTTGTATAGCCAGTCTTGTGATTTGGGGCCGTTGTTAAATAAAATGAGGGCAACTCCCAACAAGACTATGTGACACAGCCAGTCTGGTAAGGGAGAAGTTTACTAAGTACCAAAGGGAAGGTTAATATTAGTCATATTAGTTATTTCTCTTATTGTAACAAAATGTCTGACAAAGAGTAACTTAGAAGGACTAGTTTATTCTGGCTCACAGTTTAAGGGAACAGTCCATCATGGAAGGCTTGGTGGTCTGAGTGAGAATGGTTCTTACGGCTTGTCTATCTGAAGAGTAGGAGGCGTGGTCTTGTTGCAGGAGGTGTGGCCTAGTTGGAGAATCTGCCACTGAGTATGGTCTTTGAAGTTTCAGCACTGTTACAATTGTCTCTCTCTTTCTCTGCCTCCTCCTTGTGGTTCAGATGTAAGCTCTCATCTACTGCTCCAGAGTGGTGACAGCCATGGATGGACCCGCCCTGAATAAAATG